ATAACACCTGCGCATCAACCTGCTTACACTGCAAAAACACTCCAAAAGGACCGAAACCAATCAGTCTATGGTGCTTTTGACGCGTTACGAAACGCGACCACATTATTGACTCTCTGCATTGTCCGTTTGACAAGGCAATATCTTATCAATGAGCCATTGAACGCGTTTTCACTCGCATGTCGGTAATACGAGAACAGAACTGCTATTTCGGACTTGCCAGTAAATGTGAATTTCATAGTAAGCAGCCATAAATGTACGTCATTTTCTATCCACGAGAAAGTTTAGCTGAATTTCTCAGTAACTATCTGTTGCTGCACTAAAGCAAGCATCTAGTGACGCACACTGGACATAAGCTATAAAATCGCTTTTGACACTTTTCATGACACAATCCATCTCAAACAGCGTGTCTATGATTCATTTGATAGTCGCAAACGTCGCCATATCATATGGCATAAATTCACCAGGATCATCTTGTTCTCGCCTCAATGCCCATTGCTTAAGCGAGTGCAGACCTGCGTCATCTTGCGAATCACCTCTTGTCATACTGTAGCACCACGTAGAATAAGAAACGCTTTGCAATCTTTGCCGTTCCGTGTTGCGAAAAGCGAATCATAAAGTTTGACATGCGAATTTCATTAAGCTTCCCTCGGTGTGATCTCAGCGGAGTGCGGTAAATTTCAGATAAATATCTCAGCGATATTCTCCTAATTTCTCAGCTCAAGACGCTGGAGGGATGACCATCAATCTTCATTCGCGGACGAGATTCCTGGTATTAGAGCAGTGTGAGTGTAGATAGTCTAGACTTCGATATTCAACGAAAGCAACTTTCTCATTCTATTCTCTTTTCATCAATCGAAAATGAGGTGGCAATTCTAGAAAGTCTAGCGTCTATATCGGCACATGCACTCCCATTTCACTTCATTGTTCTTCCTCTCATACGCTCACAATTTTTCATTCGCTGCTAACTATTAGCAATAATTCTTTATAGAGCTAAGGTATTTAGGCG